CGGAAGCACTTTTTCATCAAAACAAGATGGCGGCGCCAAGCGCTTCCAGTGAGCTTTTCCGGGTAGAAATGGCTTTCTACCCAGAAAAGCTCACCGGAAGCACTTTTTCATCAAAACAAGATGGCGGCGTCAAGCGCTTCCAGTGAGCTTTTCCGGGTAGAAATGGCTTTCTACCCAGAAAAGCTCACCGGAAGCACTTTTTCATCAAAACAAGATGGCGGCGCCAAGCGCTTCCAGTGAGCTTTTCCGGGTAGAAATGGCTTTCTACCCAGAAAAGCTCACCGGAAGCACTTTTTCATCAAAACAAGATGGCGGCGCCCAGCAAACCAGTGGCCCGGTAGGATTTGTTCCACGGACTGGTACCGGTCCATGGACCGGTGGTTGGGGACCCCTGATCTAGCCCATGCGCCGTGAGTTTAACACCCCTGCTACATAACAAGGGGGTCCAACCTTGGCAACTTTAAGAATTGTGAACTTCAATTCCCCAAAGCCATGGCTGGAGGATTTGGGGACTTGAAGTTCCTTAAGCCTTAAAGTTGCCAAGGTTGGACACCCCTGCTATATATATATATATATAGCTACTAGCTCGATACCCGTGCTTCACTATGAAACTCTGTGGTCGGGCTTATTTTTGGGGGAGGAAAATAAAGGGAAAAATATTCTGCCTCTGCCTAGCAGCATCTATCGGCATTCATCTGGCTAGCGTCCTGTCAGTGTGTGAGAGAGTTGAGGGCTGTTTGGAAACTGAAACAGTATTTGCTGTGTGAGCAAGGAGACAGGGCGTGGCTTAGCTCAACTGTTCTGTACTAAAGTTGGTTGCTGCTGTGAAACTGAAACCGAAACTCCTCTCCTCTGCTTGTGTTTTGCATTTGGAAGAGATTTCTTTTCAGGTGGGGAGGGGGAGTCGAACTCCTTAGCATCAGAGCGTGTTAATAATAATATAGGAAATATTCTAAAATGCTCTGAATGGTCATTTCGAAAAATCTTTTCTTAGTGAACACCTAGAAGCCAAGAGGAACATATGTGCCAAATTTCAAGTTTGTAGGCTTTACAGTTCTGGAGATTTTGTGATGATTGCGTGAGTAGCATTTCGCTTTTATATACAGTATATAGATTCCTCAGCTTACAACAGTTCATTTCATGACTGCTTGAAAACACAACAGCACTGTAAAAACGGAATCATGGCCATTTTCACACTTACTACCGTTGCAGTAGCCCCAGGGTCATGTGATCAAAATTCAGCTTGGCAACCGGTTCATATTTATGATGGTTGCAGTGTCCCGGGATCATGTGATCAGGTTTTGTGACCTTGCGACAAGCAAAATCAACAGGGAAGGCAGATTCACTTCAAAGCTGTGTTACTAACCTAAAACAACTGCACTGATTCACTTAACAACTGTGGCAAGAAAGGCCATAAAATGGGGCAAAATTTCACTTAACAAATGTCTTGCTTAGCAATGCGGATTTGGGGTTCAATTGTGGTCCTACATCGAGGAATCTTTGTCTCTTTATGATAGTAAGGGTGAAAGTTTGAGAAAAAACATGGCATTTAAATACAATATATGTGTGCCTCTCAAGGAGACCACATATATAACTGCGTGTAAGGAAAGGTACCTACTGCAGATTGAACGTGGTTTCCCAGTTTTCAAAAGAATGCCAATCACCCTAAATTCAAAAGCAACCTCTCCACGTTTTAATTCGAAATGTATTCTTATAATTATCACTGGATAACAAACTAGGTTATTTCTCAGCAGGGATATCATAAAGACCCGCTCTCCTTTCAAATTAATCATTTACACTTCGGATTTTTTCATTGGATAGCAAACAGCCAAGCGAGACTCAACAGTGGTGTAAAAGGGAACCATTCCTTAGATCAGAATATTTGAGCGGGGAGTTTATTATCGGCTTGTTTTAAACAATGATTTGGGAAGGGAAGACCTTCAAGCAGGCGATACGAAAAGAGGAAATGCTCCCCAGAGGAGGAGGCAGGTAATCCTTGATTTACCACCTGTTAAAGTCACGACAGAACCCACAAAGGGCACAGGGAGTCCTTGCCTTACAACAGTTCATTTAGTGACCATTCAAAGTTACAACGGCGCTGAAAAAAACGACTGGTGACAGTTTTTCGCGCTTATGACCGTTCTAGCATTCCTAGGGTCATGTGATCGCACTTTGGAAGCTTGGCAACCGGCTCATATTTATGACGGTTGCAGTGTCCCAAGGTCCCATGATCCCCTTTAGTGACCTTCTGACGAGCAAAGTCAATGGGGAAGCCAGATGTCAGGGGTTCCGACGGATGCCCTAATTAATTCAAGAGCCTCAAGCCAAGTTTCAAAAGAAATCCAATTATTTATTAGAAGCAACACGTTGGCAACTCGGGAGCAAGCCAGGAATGCTTTACGAGTTGACACACCAGATTCACTTAACCACCGTGTTGCTAACTTTACAATTGTGTTGATTGACTTTATGACTATGGTGAGAAAGGCCGTAAAATGGGGCAAAACCCACTTAACTCCTCTGTTGCTTAGCAAAGGAAATTTTGGGCTCATTGCCATCGTATGGTGGGGGGTGGGGGCTGCCTGTAGTTCTCTTCGTGTGTCCTTCTGGTTCCTTGTGCGCCCGACGGGATAGCCATCCGTCAAATGATGGATCCACAGAGAGCAAGTCATTTCAAAAAGGAAGGAGCGTCCATTTTTGTGGCAGTTCCAACAACTTTAGCTGCAACCCTGGGTCCTTGTGGCCAGCTCAGTGGGGGATGTCTTCCATAAGAAGATCTTGCCCACTGCGCATAACTGGAACAATATTGTCACTGAATTGTTCTGCTGTCAGCCTTGGAAGCCATATTTTACTTGGACGCTTCGAGGCTGCCACATTTAATGCCTGGGAATTTGGGAGGGGGGATTTTTTTAGTGAGTAGAAGATTAGACTCAACAACATTCTTTCTTAGAAGTCAAGGACAAGTTACTCTGCACCTGGAGAGGAGTCTCTGAAGGAAGGTCTCTGGCTGGGACAACGTTTGATGGGGCCAAGGGTCTTCAAAGTTGGCAAGTTTAAGACTTGAGGACTTCAACTCCCAGAATTCCTGAGTTAACATGACTGGAGGAGAATTCTGCGAGTTGAAGTCCACAAGTCTTAAAGCTGTCAAGTTTGATGACCCCTGGGCCATGTGATGGACTGATGGGTGCAAGGAATGGATCTTTGAATTTCTCTTGAGGAAGGGAAAACCTGGAACTCGCAGATTTGGGTTTTCCCAGATGTGCCAATATGACTACTCTCATAAAACGGAACTTTGAGGAAATGCCTGTCTCAGAGTTTATTGGGTTGGAGTTTGTTGGTTGGAACGCTGACATCTGCAATGTCTTTGGTGGGTAGACACCAAACACCTGCTTCTACTGGTTGATTTCTAATTTGTGGTTCTCTTTTATGCCACTGTCTGTGACGGGTATTGTGCTGTTGATTATAATTTAATCCTGTTTTGATCCCACTGGGTTACCCTTGGCTTGTCCTTAACCATAGATGTTTCAATTTTACGGTGCTGATGTGGTTCTAGACTTATTCCGCCTATTTTATTATTCATATATTTATGCTGCGCCATGGAGGTTTTAACTTTGTCATAAACTGCCATGAATCTGTGGGCAGTTGGCAGCCAGGAAACCTAATAAATAAGGAGCTACTGGTAAGCCTTGTAATAAAATAAAGACAAAGTTCTGTAAAGGACTACGTTCTGTAAAGTCTTCTAAACAGAAACAGCTTAAATCCAACTGGGCTTGTTCATTTGCTTTGAAATAACACTTTAACAGCAGGCTTCCTGAAGAAATGAGAGAAAAATATAATAATATCCCCCATTCCACACCTAAGCTTTAGTAATAGTGGAAATAACCTCAGTATGAGAATTCTGAGGGGGCAGGTGGTAAGATTGTAAAATATCCCCAAATTAAATTTAGAAAAAAATATGCTGCTTCTGCCAAGGAGCTGGTTTTACAGAGTTTATGATTATTACACAAATTGTCTACTGCATGTTTTGGGTGATTTGTCCTTTCCATCATTTATTGTTGAAGAACTTGTTTAATGACTGTCCTCATATATATATATATATAGTTTTCGCGGGTACTTACATGTATGGTATTCAGCTTTGTTCGGGTATTTTCCCACGTCATTATAGTTGTGCTTTTAAAGTTGTAGCAACGTTTTGGCAGAATCTCATCTGCCATCATCAGGCTTCTGTAGAACGAACACAATACAGAAGCCTGATGATGGCAGATGAGATTCTGCCGAAACGTTGCTACAACTTTAAAAGCACAACTATAATGACGTGGGAAAATACCCGAACAAAGCTGAATACCATACATACATGCATGCATGCATACATACATACTTACCTACCTACATACATATATATAAATAAGACTTTCCTGCAAAAAGAGACCTAAATGTTCTCCAAAGAGCACAACCTAAGAACAAGTCAATTGTATCTTTACTTACCACATTGTGAGCTTCATCAAGTATTACTACAGCCCCTTTTAAGTCCAGGTTATGAGCTCTTCGACTCTATGAAAGAGTAAAACACAATACTCTCAATTAGTTGCGATACAGGTAGCACTCGACTCACGACCAAAATTGAGCCCAAAATTTCTGTTGCGAAGCAAGACCAAGGTTGTTAAGTGAGTTTATTCTCATTTTAGACCCTTTCTTGCCATGATTGTTAAGTGAATCACTGCAGTTGTTGAGTTAGTCACATGATTGTTAAGTGAATCTGGCTTCTCCACTGACGTTGTATTCAGAGTTTTGCAGCGTTAATTCAGTGCCAGAAAAATAAACACAGGTGGCTGATGCTTCGTTTAACATCTTTATAAACAGAACAAGTAGATTTTACAAACCAGTTGTAGATTTCTCCAACATGGTGCAAACTCAAGACAGAAGTAGACATGTTACAAGTACAGAGCACTATGGCAACTGGTATGGGTTTACAATGACTGCGGAGTCCTTCCTGGAGGGCCATGTGATTGCCATTTCTAACCTTGCCAGCCAACTTCTACCAAGCAAAGGCAATGGTATGGTAAGAAGCCGGGTTCACTTAACAAATGCATGATTCACCTAACAACCAGGGCAAAAAGAGGTCATAAAATTGAACACCACTCACTTAACAACCGCCTTGCTTAAGCAATGGAAATTCTGGTTGCAATTGTGGTAGAAAACAAGTGAGGTTAGTCAGTGGATGACATCCCTCGAAAATAAGACCTGGTGCCTTTGTGGTGGCAAAAAATATATATGACAGGGTTTTATTTTTGGGGAAACATGGGTAAGTCCAACTTCTCTGTAGGGCTCAAACACACTCACTTCTCCATTAGCTTTGTAGGTGCTTCTGACAAAAATACAGATGGACAAAGGTTTAAGGATAATGTCCTTGACCCTCAGATCATAAGGACATCATCCATGTGCCAGGCCCTTGACGACTTGGGTCAGCTCCGTAATTTCCACTGTGACCACAAATGTCAGAGTTGATCAAGATTCTGTACCAAGTGAATACAAACCCAAATGCTCCCTAGTAACCAACTTCAACTGAAAAATCTACCTCCGGTTATCTTTGTCACAGAATCTGTAAACGCCAAAGAGCATTTCCCAAAATATACAAACCAGGTTTGGTTCTTTTTTAAAAAATAAATAGATATACAACATATACCTTTGAGTCCAGCAGATAGTTATAAGGCATAAAAATGATGTCGGCTTGCTGTTTCAGACTCCGAGAAAGATAATAAGGGCAAACTCTGTTTAAAGAGAAAATTTTTTAAAAAAATTACACAATGCTTTCTCTGAGTTAAATTGCTTTCAATAAAGCTTTGTTGTGTTTATCCAGAACTGCCTGCCATCTTTTTAATGGATGATAAAACACTATAAGCCAAGATATCCAACTTGTGGCTTGGCCACAAATTCATTAGTTGCTATTAAGTCAAAATAACTGCCACTTTCCAACTGCAGGGCTATTCCAGGGTTTTTGTTTCATACTGACATGACATTGTTACTTGTAATTTGTGAGTTCCATTTTAGCCTACAACCAAAGATAACTAAACTATGGATAATGAAGCCTTGAGTCTCTGGAAAGATTCTGGGACACAAAACCAGGGAGAAAGCACTGGGGGGAGGGGAGGGGGCTGAGAAGATTGGTGGGTCAGGACAGTGTTTCTCAACTCTAGCGACTTTTAAGATGTGTGGACTTCAACTCTGGGAGTTGAAGTCCACACATCTTAAAGTGGCCAAAGTTGACAAATATTGCAACAGAGGAAGATTGGAAGCATGGAACCCAGTAAATATTTTTATGTACATGTAAAATATATTAAAATCTCTCACTATGAACACAGTTCATGAAATCTTTTACTGTAGATAATGAAGCCATATTTACAAAAAGGGAGTTTATTTATCTGCCTATAAAATTCTAAAACTCTTGGTGTTTGTAACCTTTAACTGAATGAAATGGTGCATCACAGGAAAAACATTTATAACTGAGGTACCTCAAACAGATTAACTTTCGGAATGCATCCTAAAATTGGGACTTATGGCCCTCGTGAAATTGAAATCAGGCAAATTTTATAAAACATTTTATAACATCAAAATCATAACGCATTTTATGACATAATACAAAGTGTCATAAAACAACTCCCCTGGTCAACTCCTGATGTTTGACTGTTCAGTCAGAGCTACTTCCAAGGCATCTCTGAAAAATCTTCCTGAATTTTTAAGAACTTTTCCAGTATATTAGACGTTTGGCCATACGAAGGCATTTGAGCAATCTGATAAGAAATATCTCTGAAACAATAACCAAAGGCCCACAGATTGTCTAGTATACCAGTAAAACTCTTGAGTCTGTAACCTTTAACTGTGAGATTGTGCACCATGGGGCAACCATTTTTGAACCAAGGTAGCTCAAATGGGTTAACCTACAGAATGCATCCAAAATCTGGCACCCATGGGATTTTAATTGATAAATTTGTGGTCCTTTGAAGTTGTTGCATCACTGTGCTACTGTTCAGTAGACACAACAGTAGACAAGTCCTGTCCTAGCGTGGTAGATCAATCCTACCACATTGGCTGACCAGAGGAAGGTCTGGTACAGCCAAGCCAGCAAGAAGATGGGAGTCACTCCTGCTCCTACTCCTACTCCTTTTTTTTTATCCTTGCTCATTCTGTTTCTCTGTTTAGGTAAAGAAATATCTCTGGAAGGATGACCCAATGGGACACAGGTGGCTTGGTTTAATTTATAAAATATTCCATTGCCCCAAAGTGACTCTGGGCAGCGTAGAAGAAATAAAAATAATGGAAAGCATTTGTAGCTCAGGTCCTTTGGTTGGTTTCTTGCAGATGTTTCATTACCCAAAATAGGTAACATCAAGTGTAACCTCCCCTCCCTCCCTTCGAGCACCGAGGACCACAGTTTGGGTAATGAAACATCTGCAAGAAAGCAACCAAGCTCAGAGAGTAACGAAGTCCCCTCAGATAGAAATGTTTTTTAAAAAAAATCATAATATCCAAGGTCACAAACAAATCCAATTCGTAAGGAATAGTAACCCAGACTGAACTAGCAAAAGTTGCCCAATCACATGGCCCAAATGCCTGCGAAAACTGCCAGGTCTTAAATGCCTTAAAAAAAAGGCTAACCAGGTCAGAACCGTCCTGATTATGGTTGTTGCATAAAGCACGTGACACCACAGGGAAGGCACAACTCCAGGGCCTAACAGGGTGACACTGTTTAATGGACTCAGAGGATGCCTTTCCTGCTAAAGTTGGTGAGGCGAGCGAAGAAAATGGGAGACAAGACAGTCCCACAAATCATCAGAGGTTATGCCATGTAAGGCTTTGTAGTTAGCAACCAGAATCCTATTGGGAGCAATATCGTCGTACAGAAGTAATGAGAAATGACCCAAACTGCCCACACCACAACATTCTGAATCGGCTGCAGCTCCTCAAGGGAATCCAATGCAGAGTCCATTACAGCAAAATAAATAAGATGACTCAGGCATGAATCATTGCGATGTGAACAAGGCTGCTTGGTCCAGGAATACATAGAGGCACCTGGTGCCCAACACGAACGCTTGCAAAGGTTCTCCTATCCAGGTTGCCATCTGCTTTTCTTGCAGAAGTCGTGAGGCCAGGAGAAGCCCCACGCTGGCCCCTCAAGTCTGACCGGGGAAACGATCCTCCCAGGAAGAGCCGAAGGTCGGGGAAAAGAAATCTCCCAATTTTGAGGGCCTTAAAACCCATTGTCAACCCTGAAACTGGCTAGACGGTGCCCATTCATTCTTGTCGTGGTGAGCCAAAGGCATACATTTTGTACTGAAGCAATACGAAATAAAAATATTTTTATATAATTTTAAAATGTTTTAATCTTAAATTCACATTTTAATGTCAATTTGATTATACTGTACACCACCCACAGTCCCTCTCTGAGATGGGCAGTTAAGAATATATATATGTGTGTGTGGATCTTTGGTTATTCGGGTTTTCTCCCGCGTAAGATTGGAAGTATCTAGGCAACGTTTCGATGAAGTCTCATTCATCATCTTCAGGCTTGTGTCTTCTGCTCTGTGCTTCTCAGAGTGATGTGAGCTTGCAGCTGCTTCTCCCTTTTAACTGCTAGTGGGGGTGTGACTTGATTGGGTGGGGGCTTGGCTGTGTTCTGATTGGGTGGGGGGGTGTTCTCATTGGTTGGGGGTTTGGCTGTGTTCTGATTGTTTGGGGGTGTGTTCTGTTCAGGTGGGGGCTTGGTTGTGCTCAGGTTAGTCTTAGTTGCCGGGGGATTTGAGCTGGTGAGCTGTGATCCTGTTGTTTGGCTTCGCGTTCGTGGTCGTGCCACATCTTCATGGTGGGCGTCCGTTCGCTTCATGTATGGGTCGGAGGGGTTTGAAGCGGGTAGTGATGCAGCTGCAGTACGGCTTTTGGTCCGTGGTCGTGTCTCATCATCTGTGTAGGTGTGAGTCTGCTTTCTACGTGGAAGTGTGGTGATAGCATCTTGTGTGGCCCTCGTGGGTGTGGGTCTGGTGTCCTTCTTCATGTTAGGTACTCGTTTGTTAATGAGGGCGGGTTTCCAAATGGCTGGTAGGCGGGAGGTATCATCTCGTTTATTCATGCTGTGTGGGCGTTTTTCTATCTCTATGGCTTCCCTGATTATTCTGTTGTTGGAGTGTTCAGTTTTGGCGATAGTTCTGGTATTTTTAAAGTCAATCTCATGTCCTGTGGCTTTGAGGTGTTGGACCAGGGAAGAGGTCGGTTCTTCTTTTTTGATTGAGTTCTTATGTTCTTCAACACGTGCACTTATTCTTCTGTTGGTTTGTCCGATGTATGTGGTGGGGAAGGCGGTGCAAGGGATTTCGTACACTCCTTGGTTTTCTAACTCGATTTTGTCTTTAGGGTTTCTTAGGATGGTGGATATTTTTCTGTTTGTGCAGAATGCTGTTTTAATGTTGTGTTTTTGGAGGATCTCGCTGATTTTGTCTGTAGTGCCTTTTATATATGGAAGGAGGGCTTTGCCGTTCTCTTGTTCTCTGTCTTGGATTTTGGTTGGGGTTTCTTTTTGGATTAGGTGGGTAATCTTCTTTCTTTTGAATCCACTGACTGTTAGTACATTAGTGAGAGTGTGTAGTTCGGTTTTTAGGTGTTGTTCGTCGGCTAAGCATTTTGTTCTGGAGATGAGTGTCTTGGCTACGGAATTGATCTGTGCTGGGTGGTGGTGTGAGAGTATGTGTAGATAGCGGTTTGTATGTGTTTTCTTCTGGTAGATGGTGTATACTAAGACATCTAGGAAGGGAAGTTGATAGTTGGCTTCTGTTTCCATGGTGAATTGTATTTTGGGGTGTAGGCTGTTGAGATATGTGAGGAAGTTGTTCAGTTTTTCTTTCCTATGTGACCAGATTATGAAGGTGTCATCTATGTATCTGAGCCAGAGTTTGGGTTTGTGATCATATTTTTCTAGAGCTTGTGTTTCAAAGTGTTCCATGTAGAGGTTTGCGATGACAGGTGAGAGGGGTGATCCCATGGGTACTCCTTCTATTTGTTTGTATTTTTGTCTGTTGTAGGTGAAGTATGTATTGGATAGGCAGTGGTTGGTCAGATCTAGGATGTGCTTGGGGGGTTGTATTTGTTTTGGATGGCTGTCAAGGCTTCTTTTATAGGCACTTGGGTGAAGAGGGATATGACATCGAAGCTCACTAGTAGGTCGCTGGGCTGTAAGTTTTGTTTCTTTATGATCTCAATGAACTGGAATGAGTTTCTTACGTGTGAGTTGATGGATTCTGCATAGGGCTGTAGTTGTTTGGCGAGAAATTTGGCTCGGTTTTGTAGAGGTGAGCCTATGGAGCTGACTATTAGTCTAAGTGGGGTTCCTTCTTTGTGTATCTTGGGGAGACCATAAAGCTTAGGGCATCTGGATGATTTCTCTCTGGGTATGATTCTTTACTGGATTTCTTCGCTGATGGGGGAGGCTTTTATTTTGGATCTGGTGGTTTTTTCTAGGTAGGTGGTGGGGTCTGTGTTTAGGGGTTTGTATGTGGGGTCTTGGAGTAGGTGGGTTAACTTGGTTTGGTAGTCAGATATGTTCATAACCACTGTCGCGTTGCCCTTGTCTGCTGGTAGGATTATTATGCTGGTGTTTTCATTCAGGTTAAGCAGTGCAGTTTGTTCTTCTTTTGATAAGTTGCTTTTGGGTGGTTTGCTGGTGCAGGGGATGTTGGTGATTTCGAGTCTGATTCTGTTAGCATCATCAGGGTTGGTTTTGGTCAGGCTGGTTTCAACTCCGCATATAATGGTTTCTGTGGGAATGTGTTTGGGAGCGACAGCAAAGTTGAATCCTTTCGAAAGGACATTGGTTTCGGCTTCGGTAAGGATCTTGTCTGAGATGTTGTGCACTGTTTGTTTCATGTGTGGCTGTGAGGGGGGAGGAGTTTGTTTCTGGCGTTGTTGTAGTTTTCTGAGTTTGTTGGTGTGTGTGTCTGTCTTGAGGGTGGTCTGTGTTTCGGCTCTCCAGACAGCGAGTTGTTTGGATTTGTCCCAAAGTGCGGGGTGAATCTTGTTGCTGAGTCTGAGGTGAAGTGTGAGGAGATCTTTGTTGATTTGGTCTAGGAGGAATCTTTTTGTGTGAAGTTCGTTTCTAATTAGGGCCAATTCTGTTCTTTTTAGGATGCGTTTGGTGGCTGCTGTGTTGGTGTGGAATTTCAACTGGAAGCTTATGGGGATTAAATTTTGATCTCGGCAGTTGCGTAGGAATGCGAGGTCACATAAAATGGAAGCTCTTTGGACTTCAAGTTTTTCATAAGTCCTGGTCAGATGGTGGGAGAGCCTCCGGAGCCCAGGGTGGCCATTTTCACCCACCCGGGGGCTCAAAGAAAGCCTCTGGAGCCCAGGGAAGGCAAAATCACCCCTCCCCCACCATGGTGCAGGAGACCGACTAGGCCACGCCCATCATGGCCACACCCATCCAGCAACTGGGCAGGGAACCCTTTGCTAAAAATTTTGAAGCCCATCACTGGTTAGAATGCCGTAGTGCAGGCAAACTCTGCCCACAGTCTGGCGTTCGATCCTGTTCGGCTCAAGATTGACCCAGCCTTCCATCCTTTCGACCTCAGTAAAATGAGGACCCAGGTTGTTAGGGGCAATATGCCGATGAGGTAAACCACCCAGAGAGTGCAGTAAAGCACTATGGGGTGTTATATAAGTCTAAGTGTTATTTCTATTGTTAGGTGACATTGGCATTACAATGAAACACAACTTATGCCAAAAGATGACCTTGCCCCAGTTTCATATAGATGTTAAATAAGCGTGAGGAGAAAACAGATTCCTGAGAAATCTCTCACAAGGTCACCTATAATGAGCATTATAAAATTTGCTTTATGGATGATCACAATAAGGCACATAAAATAACTTGAATGCTTGTACTATCAAGCTTTTGTTTTCAGGGGAAAAGACAGGTACCCCAGGGCATTCACAGGATCAACAAATGATTTAAAATGCTTTCTGCACAATCTCAGCAAAAGAAAGCATCAAATTATCTTTGGCTCTGTAAATTATGTTGGTAAATCTGGTTTCCCTTTCGTCATTTCAGCTTAATACGAAGCCCTGCCGTTGCTGAGCTATGTCTCCAAGGAAGCGAGGCAGAGTTTAAGAAGAAGGGACCTGTGTTTGTTTCCATTTTTAACAAGGTCTTCAATGTCCAAGATGGGATCGATCAGGTCTTTCTCGGTGCTTTTTTCTACATGAAAAAGAAAAAGAAAAAATATGTTGTGTACTGGAAGTTAATACAATTGCAACCATCGCTGTGCCGGTGTTTCATCCATCAGCATCAGGCCTTTTGTGGCACACCTGAGGCTTGACAAGACACTGGTACTTTTATGTTAAGATTAGATAATAGAACATTCCTGGTTTAGTCTTCAGGCTAAAAGAAGCTGGATAGTCTAAATCTAATTTATTTCCTATTTCTAAACCTCCCATCTCATTCCTGACCTACATGGCATTGGTTTCTTAGATTAGATCTACTTGTAGGGCTCAAATCCCCCCCCCCCAAAGTAAGAAGGTAAAACGCAAAGAAAAAAAATGGGATTTCAGGTGTGAAAGCTTCTTGAGTTTGTCAGCTAACTGAGGCTTGATAATACAGGTAATCCTAGACTTACAACAGTTCACTTAATGACCAGTCAAAGTAACAATGGCACTGAAAAAAGTGACATGATCATTTTTCACACTTATGACCAATGCAGCATCCCCAGGGTAACAGGGGATTTAAATTTGGCTGCTTGACAACTGACTCGCATTTATGACAATTGCAGTGTCCCGGAGTCATGCGACTCCCTTCTGACAGGATAAGTCAATGGGGAAACCAGATTCACTTAACAACCATGTCACTCATTTAACAACTGAAATTATTCACTTAACAGTGGCAAGGAAAGTAAAATGGGGCAAAACCCACTTAAGAAATTTCTCACTTTTAGCAATGTAAATATTGGCTCAATTGTGCTCGTACATTTAGGGTCTTCCTGTACCTGTTGCTAGAAGCATCCTCTCCCTGACCTGAGGCTCCAAAAGGGCAAGTGGGGGGGGGGTAACAACAGGAGGGGGATGACAACCTATGTTATTCTTATACCATGGTAGCTATGGTTATATTAGGCCAGAAAGTGGGAGGCTGTGAGTTCTAGTCCCGCTTCAGGCATGAAAGCCAGATGGGTGACTTTGGACCAATCACCTGGAGACAGAGTTCTAGTCCCGCCTTAGGCATGAAAGCCAACTGGGCGACTTTGGACCAATCACCCGGAGACAGAGTTCTAGTCCCGCCTTAGGCATGAAAGCCAGCTGGGCGACTTTGGACCAGTCACCCGGAGACAGAGTTCTGGTCCCGCCTTAGGCATGAAAGCCAGCTGGGCGACTTTGAGCCAATCACTCTCTCTCTCTCAGCCCAACTCATCCCACAGGGTTGTTGTGGGGAACATAGGAGGAGGAAGGAGCATCGGATATGTTTGCCACCTTGGAGTTATTTGCAAGAATAAAGGTGGGATAATAATAAATAAATAAAAATGGCGGCTTTCTGCGCACAACCAGCACCCTTTTTAAATGAAACCCACTGGAATTGTGCAGAGATGCTACTTTTTTTCGCTAGGCCTTCGTACAATTTATTTTGAAACAGGTGTCAGTCAAGGAAAATGAATCAGCGACAAGGAAACCACACGCCTTCTCGGGGAACCCTGAAGGAACCGGCTGTTTAATAGGGCTTGAGATTCTACCTGCCGTGCTGAATCCACTTTAATCAAGTCCTACTGCTTTCATTTGATTAATACATTAACACCACACCATTAATTCATCACCCGTCCACAGTTTTAATTTTTTTTTTTTTTTAAAAAAAACAACTGTTCCAAGATGAAAGGGACGCAACACATTACAAGCACCGGGGCTCAGCTGCAAGCCAAGATATCCCTGAGCTTTTTCTAAACTCAGTTTGTGACTGCAGCTTCCACCATAGTTCCTGTTCTTCCAATATGCTCTATACAGGTAGTCCTCAACTTACGATCACAACTGAGCCCAAAATTTCTGTTGCTAAGTGAGACATTTGTTAAATTGAAGAGAAATTGAAGTGAAATTTTGCCCCATTTTACAACTTTTCTTGCCACAGTTCTTAACTGCACTTATTAAATTAGTAACATGGTTTTAAAGTGAATCTTCAATGTCAGAAAGCTGCAAAAGGGGATCGCGGGACCCCCAACACTCTGCAACTGTCATAAATACGAGTCAGTTGCTGAGCATTTGAATTTTGGTCACTTATCCATGGGGATGCTGCAATGGTTGTAAGTGTGAAAAGCAGTCGTAAGTCACTTTTTTCAGTAATGTTGTTAACTCTGAATGGTCACTAAAGGAACTGTTGTAAGTTGAGAACTACCTGTAGTTCTATTAATACAGCAAAGTGTGAAGAGAGAAATAAAATAAACTTATTGCTTCAAAACCTCATTATATAATCCATATAGGAAATAGCCCTTATAGGAAAATTGCCATTTATTAAATTTATGTGCCACCCAATAGGGCGATTCTTATTCCTTTGGCCCTTCTATAGAGTAGATAGATGGTCTACCAAGCCTCAATCTGATCACGATTATTAAAAAAAAAACATTACTGAGAATCTCCTATGTTGAATAGACCAACCTGTCTTATTTGCCAGCCTAATAATTTGAAAACTAAATCAGCAAATATCTATCCAAATCAATACATGTAAACGCACAATAACATAGGTTGCTTGTATTAATCTTGCTAATTATGCTGTAAGTCTATCAAACCCTGACTATGGTGGTGTCAGGGAATTGCACAGATGTCCAAATGAAGTCAGAGATGCTGACACTAACTAACTAAATATATTTAACATTTATCTATCCATCCATCCGTCCATCCATCCATCCATATATCTATTGTCTTTCTATCTATCTCTGTCCATCCATCCATCCATCCATCCATCCATCCATGCCTATCTATTGTCTCTGTCTGTCTATTCATATCTATCTCTATCTATCCATCCCTATCCATCCATCCATCCATATCTATCTATTGTCTTTCTATCTGTCTCTGTCCATCCATCCATCCATATCTATCTATCATCTATCTATCTATCTATCTATCTATCTATCTATCTATCTATCATCTATCTATCTATCTATCTATCTATCTATCTATCCATCTATCTATCTATCCATCCATCTATCTATCTCTATCCATCCATCCATCCATATCTATATTGTCTTTCTATCTGTCTCTGTCCATCCACCCATGCCTGCCTATCTATCTATCTATCTCTATCCATCCATCCATCCATATCTATCTATTGTCTTTCTATCTGTCTCTGTCCATCCATATCTATCTATCTATCTATCTATCTATCTCCATCCATCCATCCATCCATCCATCCATATCTATCTATTGTTTTTCTGTCTCTGTCCATCCATCCATGCCTATCTATCTATCTATCTATCTATCTATCTATCTATCTATCTATCTA